GGCAATAATAGCAGATAGGGCTTTCTTTTCTTATGTGAAAAAAAGATTAACATTTGGCAATTCTATGTTGGACTTCCTGATTTGTTATTTACTGCTCTCATTGACATGACTAAGTAAACAACACACAAATAGGGTTGGTACAGTGACTGGACACAAATGGGGCCATTTTTCCAAGCTTCTGTCTCTTTTATACGCCCGAGAGACTGGACCAAGTGTCACTGATAAGACTCCCACCGCCTGTAATGCTACATAACACGGTATCTGCGGTACAGCTGACTGATACCGTGGACGCCCAGCACTGGGCACAGACCAGGTGCTCACGACTCTACATTAGACCGGCTGACTAATATCTTAAAGATTCAATTTGATTTCAAGGTGACTCAATTAGACTCAAAGGTAAGTAAACGTGGATTAAGGCACATTAAAGAGAAAAAAAAGCAAGATCTGGGAGACACAGAAACCATAAGAAAATGCTGGCATCAGTACGGTCATACAAACCCTAAGTGCAGTCATAGGGAATTCAAATGTGAAGAACTCGGAACTCTCTTCTTAGAGTCATTAGTGGCGCAAGCCGAGCAAGGCCACGTCAGGTTCAGACCTAGGAAGTCGTCAAGTGATCTGGAGAACTCGGTAAACACCCCTAGGGAAAGCAACAGAAATTCTACCCCCAAAGGCCGGCTTGGGAAAGATGGTTCCCAGAAGCACAGGTGTAAGAGCCGGTTTTCCTGGAGTGGGAGGAAAGGAAGGGTGGGGCATCCACCAAGGCGTCCCGGGCAGGGAGTCCCACAGTGAAGGGCAGGCTCCAGAGGGCAAGGGCACACAGAGACCACCTGGGTGCAGGTCACAGGAAGAGGCAGAGAGAGGCTGACACGTGTGTCAGGAAGGTCGGAGCATTCTCTGGAGACCAGAGAAAACACAGCAGGCTTTCCCCGGCAATTCCAGCACAGAAGGCCAGGGGAAGGGCCCAAGGTCCAGGGTCCCCCAGTCCCCAGCGTTTCCCACTCTCCCACCACAGGGTGACCTTTAGGAGAAGCCCTCCCCACCTTCCCAGCCTCTTTCCGAGCTCAGAGCTGCAGGATGTAGAGAAGAAAAGTATTTGCCCCCAGATATCCATAAAATGCTGGAGGATCTCCATTGAAACCTGCTGCGCAAATGAGACTGGTTCTTAGCATCCTTAGGAACAATGACGACAACAACAAAAATGGGTATTTAAAAAAGGCAGCCATTATAAAAAGTGATGCAGAAGATCCTTCCATACTGCCAAGAAACATTAAGTGAAGAAAAAGCCGGGTTCCCAATAGTTAGCTACCATGTGTATAAAAGGGAAGGGGTATTCACAATGAATTTGCTAACACATGTAGGAAATGCCCTGGCTGTGTGTGGCACATCTGTAGAGGATGAGAAAATCAGTAACACTGTTGTCTCTAAGGAACAAAAAACTAGGTGGCAGGACTGGGTGGACAGAGACATAGTAACCGTCTAACCTTTTGTGCTTTTCCAATGTTTCCTTTCATGGAAATGTATTACCTATTTAAAATTTACTTTTGAATGAAAAACATTAAACATCTTTAATATGTGAAATACAAACAAAATAGTCTTTATGCAGCAAACCAAACACACTTGTCACTCTGGACAGCTGTGCTCCTGGCACACACCAGACGCTCGGTTTGCTGAACTTAATGGACCTCCACTTAGCGAGAACAAAAGAAAATTAGAAACGAGGCAAAGCCAAGGGCCTCGATGTTCCACTTCTCTAACGAGCTCTTTACCTGTGTGCTGCTTGACTGCAAGAGACCAGAGAATGGGTCCTTGTGCAGCAAGGCCTCCACCTGCCGGGGCCGGGACACAGGCTCCCAGGGCAACAACAGGTCTGGTGGCCCATCCACACCAGCCATTTTGTATACAGAAAAGGTTTAATACCAAAACACGATGCCCTGGAACCAAGACAACAAAAACAAACGTGCAGATAGGAAAATGACTGCATACTGTGCTAGAAGTCAGGATATTGTAAGCAGTAGGTTGTAGCAAGGCTCTGTCACACAGAGCTCCGTTAATACTGGAAGTCTGTCTTTGCTACGGCTTTTCAAAGAGCCAGGCTTTAAGCAGAAAATAAGACAGGCTCTGACCCTGTCTTCCATACGACCAAAGAAATGTTACGTGTTCAGGACAAGGGCAGTGGGGAGCCCTATACTCCTTGTGCGCACTGCCAGAGATACCAGGAGGAAGGTACGAGTAAAGGATTAAAAAATAACAGTAAATGAGAAGGCTTTTCAGCAGGATGTTATGAGAAAAGAGAGCGAGACAGGGAGAAGGGGACCCGTTATTAACACACAAACAATGGAAATAAAGCAACTATTCTAAGATGGCCGAGCTCTAGAAAGCCCTAACCAAAAAAAACCAAAACTCAGAATCAACTCTTAATTAAGTAGGTGCCAATCGATGAACAGTGATAATCTTTGGTTTATTCTAGAAAACATGAAAAAACAAAGGTGACTGGATCCCTGCAAGAAGGAAAGGTGATGGGCATATCTCCTAATTAAAAGGGAGTTGGCTGGCAAACAGAGTGGGCAGTTCCCAAAACTGCGGAGGTGATAAAGGAAATGAAGGTGAAAGCGAAAAGGAGAGAGAGAACTTCCCCAACTCAAACGAGAGGAAGACCGTTGTTCCATGGCGCCTGCCATCTGGTTTATTTCAAGCTCAAGAAATGAACAGGAAAAAAATGCAGAAAAAACAGTGAACAGGCTGGATCACCAGCAAGAGTCAGTCACACGCTTGTGTTTCTGCCGGGCAAGGCCGGCGCTGCTGGGGCTCCCCCGCTCGAATGACTAAGTAACCGGCTTAAATGCATTTGACACATGATCCCTGAACTTCCGAAAAGCACTTAATACAGTGGCTCATGAAATCTTAATCTAAAAATGTTCATCCATTTATAATCAAGCTGTATCACACTGACAACTGGGAAGGAGGGCCGAGCAGAGGGAAGAGATATTTGAAAGAATGCGTGGAAATTGGTATCATCCGGGACTATCACTTTGAGAGATTCCTCTACCCCACTTCTTAAAAGAGAATAAAACAGATCTGTAGTCTAAAAAGAGTGCAATTACAAGGAGAGGGCTAACAGAGAAAAATGAATGCCCTGATTCAATAAAAGACAGAAAAATAAATAAAATGGAACGTGACTTGGAGAACCCCACAGACGTCTGTGCTGCAATAAAATCTGAATATGTTTAATGAATTGTAGGGAGGCAGCCAGGGGGAAAAAATAAGCTCTGACAGAAAATATTGGGGGGTTAGATATAAAGAAAAACTGTATAAAAGGACAATAGGACATCATATTTAACAAATCTATAGAGGTTTTGTGTGCCAAACACCATTCAAGCACTTCAGAGAGAGCACCTCATGCACTCCTCAAAACCACCTGGTAAGAAGCACTATTGTTCCTCTTTTATGAGTGAGCAATCAGAGGCAGGGAGAGGTTAAATAACTTGCCCATGGTTACAGCTAGAAAGAAGCAGGGCTAGGGTTCAAATCCAGACACTATGGCACCAAAACCTATGCTCCTGACCTCTCTGGACTCCCCTAGAATTTAAACACACCAAGACTGAGATAACTAGGCCAGGAGCGAAACACAAGTCATTAACTTGATAGATCCAGGATCAACATATCATCCTTTACTCATGGCTCTGTGAGGACCAGTCAGCCCTGTGACCTCCCCAGGAGCTAGTTTCTTCTGGAATGCCACAGTCCATGCCGCATATGGACTGATCAGCTTTTGGAGTGGTTATTCAAAGGTTAATTCATCCTCAAACAGGCAGCAAGTGGTGTTTAAAGTTCCCTGCCTCTTGACCTTCAGAAGATTATTACGTCCTCTATGTTCAGGCAAATGACAGAGAGTGGTCAAGTGGTACTGCATGGTTTCTCTTTTGGACTTAATGTGGTTGTAACAAAATGGCCCTCAGAAAGCTCTGGACACAGAGCACATTTACTCTGCCAAACCTACAGCTTCCCCAGGCCCCTCTCATGAGCCCGTTCTTGGAACCCCAGCCAAATCTGGTTAACGGAATGTAGGTGAAACTGGCAGGCTGAATGAGGGGAAGTGGAAGACTAAGAGGGACAGTCCACATTTCAAAATAAGGAGTTCCCCAGTGGTTAAATAAACCTTATCTTCTTGGTATAGCCCGTTCTCTTTTCTAACACCCACTCTTGAGAGTTGAGACTACATAATCCATTATGGGTGAATGCAACATCCACTTCCAAACTAAGGTACCATAAGTATCCTCAAACTAGGCATTAAAGGTCACCCAGAATGTGCCTGTGAGTGGAGAAAGGCCTTACAGGTGGGTCATGCAGCCCTCCCCCGGGAGTCCTTTCTAAGCATCCTTGAAAGGTGGCTGTAATCTGGCCTCTGCCCAAACAAGGTCGAGGAGCTGGACAGCTCTCCTTGTGGGGAACAGGAAGGGCCTAGAACAGTGCCTGGAGCAAAGAGCTCAGTAAGTGCGCCTCCAAGTAGGTCAAAAGCTGCCTTCCTACAACTTCAACTCCTCGGTCCTGGAGCCCAGAAATGCAGAGGACCCTCGGATATGCGGGGCTATCATCAGGCCCCATGGCCCTCTTCTTCCAGGTGCGGATCCCAGACCGCCACTACCAAGCCTGGGCCAGCAGACCTCCTGCCCAGAGGTCCCAAGAGTGCGCACAGACGGAGGGATGACCGGCAGATTGGCCACAGTCCCACAGATCCCCAACCTGGGTACCTGGGGCAGGAGGGGACAAAGGACTTTCAGGAACTCGTATTCCGAACGCTGCGGTTCAGGCTGCCCCCTCCCCGCCACTTTGCAAATCAGCCCTCCGGACCCCCGACAGCACCAGGTGACAGGCCCCGAGGATCCCCGGGCGCGAGCGATGGGCCGAGCCACGATGAGGACCGAGGGGTTCAGGGGCTTGGCCCGACGGATCCGGGGCACGATCCCGGCTTAGTGGAGCTCGCTCGGCCGTGGCTTTACCTGTGCGTGGTGGACTACAGAGGCCCAGCTCACCCCGAGTCGGGTTCCCGCAGCTCCTCGGCTGCCGGCGGCGCTCATGGAAATGTAGCCGGAACCCCGGCCAGTGCAGCTCCCGCGGCTACCGGCCCCGCCTAAGCAACTGCTGCCACGCCCCTGACTACCGCTTCTGCCACGCCCCTAACCACGGGATCCCGCCTGTTCATTGGGTAGCCCGGCCGCTGCTCTTCAAGCCCCGGACGCTCGGCGCACCCAGCGGGTAACCCATTGGTCGGAGGAGCTGCTCCTCAGCGCAGAGGCGGAGCCTTAGCGAAGACAATTGGTTACTTTTGACGTCTTTGGCCCGTAGGCCAAGGCCTTATTGGATAAGGCCTGTCCGGGGGCCGGGAAAAGAAGGAGGACTAAGAGATGGGCCGAGTTTGCTGTTGTTGGGGGCGGATGCCGAGAGAGAGAAGCTATTGAGATCTCTAGCTGGTTTGAGGGGGCGGTGTAAGGTCTGGTGTCATCTGGGCTGGGAGCAAGGAGGCCCTCTGAAGCTCACCTGGGGGATCTGATGGCTGCAGGCCGAACGACCGACTCGCTGTAGCCCAGGACACCGGGGATGGAATTAGAGGTCCAGCCTGGGGAGAGAAGAGGGAGGAAAGTGAGTGACCAAACCACAAGGATAGGAAAGGATGTAGAGACAGCCCTTCCTGCTGGGAAGCTAGGAGAGTGGTGGGGACATGACAGGCACTGTGGACCTCAGCTAATCGTTCCACTGTCCTTTCAGCCTTTTAGACTTTGCTGTCAGACCTCGAATTGAGCCCTCTGTTGGCGCACACAGGCTCCATGGCCTTCAGCAAGTCACTTTAACCTTTGAGCATGCACCCTGGTTTCTTCATTTGGCAACTGGGAGTAACAATAGCAGTTAATACGATGAAATAACTCTGTAAACAATTACAGTGCCTGGCACTCAGTAGGCATTCAGTCAAGACTGGTTCCCCACCCACTCACTCACTCACTCCTGCGGGTCTATGGAACCAGGCCCAGTGCTAAAATTCTATGAGCCTTAAGCTGCTTCTGCAATGGCATGTGCTTTACCAAGAATAGAACACTTGACTGACTTGAAATGCAACCCCTTCAGGGCAGACAGGGCCACCCTACCAGAGCGCACCAGAGCTAGAAAAGATGGGAGGAGCAATTTAACCAGAGAAGGGAAGTGGTATTTGTAACAATGTTAATTTTTTTCCAACATATTTTAGAATTGAATTATGACAAAGAAAAACAGAGCTTCCTTTATCCTGTTTAGACATTCAAGTATCCAATGACTCAAGTTTCATGGAACATGACCAAATAATGCTTTGAAGGCCCATCAGCACTGGACTAGAAATATATAGGCCAGGGACTCCTGAAGCCCATTCCCCATTCTAAAGGTGCAGACGTCCTACAGGGCGAACAGACAGCCTCTGAGGCCTGAATTTAGCCCCCAACCCTTTAGGTCTGCCTTTGAGAGAATCCATATCCATGGTGCATGGCGGAGGAGAAAGAATCCCTTGCCTTTGCTCTATTTTCATTTCAGCTGTCATGTTTACCTAAAAAAAGAGTTCACCTCAGCATTTATTTATTCCATCCTGGAAAAGAAAAACCCAGGCTTCAGTAGCAAGGGATTTCAGTGAGGGGCCCCTATAGTTCCCTCTCTCGGTGTTAAAACAGTATGGGCTTCCAGAAAAGAGCTTTGGATTTGCTGCCAGTTCAAAGTGTGTATGTGCACTTGGTTCTACTCCACCATTTTCCAGTTCTTTTGTCTTTAAACATTTCTGTTTGGTGGATATACATATGTCTGCACGTATGCTAGGGAAACATGCCTTGCCCAATACAGGGCTGCCCCTGCTTGTGTTTCCTAAAGGAGAATGAGGTGTGTCATTAGTACTGAAAGTCATGAAGAGGCTCCCAAGGCAGGGGAAGATTCCGCCAGCTTGATTCAAAGCCACAGAAAGCAGCTGTGAAGAATAAATTGCAGATGGACTTACCATTGTGCAGATTGATTTTTCCCCCAGGAGAGGAACATAGGTTCAGCCACGAAGATTTCCAGAAAGGGACGTGTCCATCCAATTCACAAATTCTAAAACACAAGCGTGTCACGGGGGCTGAAAAAGAAGCACAGGATGAGCCCAAGCAGAGGGGGAAAGAGAACGTGCGCGTCTTCTCCTCTGCAGCTCGGCTGGCTTCAATAATGATCCATTACCACCTGCGACACTTCAGACTGCTTTCTTATTTGTCTCTGGTGGCTGTTTCCTCCCCTTTGGTTTGGCTTTTGCCATATTCTGTGGAATCACATTATTTCATTCTATAAAGCATTTCTGTGGGAGGCCATTTAGGAGACAGAATGGACTCATTTTTGCCTTCAAGTTTAGGGAGGCTTGGCATGGGATAACTAGTAGTTAGGATGAGGCTATGAAGTACTTTTCTGAAAGCATGTGAGTGCCTTGTTATAAAGAGAATGAAGGACTTTACCAAAGTGGAACTGGCTCTAAACTCTCCTGGGGCCTCTCAGCAGGATTTCTTCCTAACCCTTGAGAAAGTCCTTGAAGTCCCCTGGGGGAGAGCAGGCAGCAGTGGGCGCAGCAGGCAGTGTGCTCTGTTTATTTTCTTTGTGCAAAATCAGTGATTCACTTAGTTTCTGTTCATTTGTCTGTATCCTTAAGGGATGGTTGAGAGCAACTGGCTTTGGAGCCTCTGCTGTTGGGGCTTGAATCCTGGCTCTGCCCTTCCTAGCCAGGTGACCTTGGGCCAGTACCTTGCCTGTCCCGTGCCCCACTTTCTTCTGTAAAATTCCAAAGACATTAACTGTGCTTCCCTCATAGGGTGCTGTGAGGAGCAAATGAGTTCAAGTGCATCAAACAGAACCTGGCACATGCTTAGCTTTTAATAAATGTTTGCCATTGTTATTCCAGGAGCCCATTTAAGAACCTTTTTCTAAGGCGCTAACTCATATTCTAAGTTCTGTTATCAGAAGCTGTGATTACAGCATTCAAGTTTTGTTTTCATATAGACTTTCTTTTTAGAAATAGTTTTGGATTCAGAGAAAAATTGGTCACAAAGTTCCTATTCACCCATCCTCCCCAACACATGGAAGAATTTTTTTTTTTTCCACTAGCAACATCTACCACCGGGTGAGAGAAACTTTTTCCTTTGGAATGTCCTCATCAAAAGAGGTTCCAAGGATTGAGTTAAGATTTTTAAGACTAGACCTCATGCACTTAACCTCTGTGAAGGAAATGGGAAAGGACGAGACCGAGAACAGTACTAAAAGCCTCAGCCTGGAGGTTCATGAAATCCCCCCAAAGGCAAGAGATGGCGCAGGCTCTGAGAAATCCAAAACAGTCACTTTATCGCCACACCCAGCCAGTGCTGCCTGTGTGCACCTAGGCAGTGAGGACAGGATGGCTGATGACCAGGCCTCCTGGCCAGCTTCTCATTGATACTACAGATACAGTTTGGCAGCTCTAAGTCCCAGCATGCAATAGTTCTACAGGGACAAACTGATGAAATTCAAGGGTTTGTCTCCCTTTGCTATTGGAAAAGCTTTCTGCTGGCTATTCAACACAGTAATGAATAATCCCCTCAGTCTATGATTCGGGCTGCTTCTTTAAACCTATGTGTGAAGTTGTCTATAATAAAAATCATATGGTGCTTTTATGCTCAGGACAGTCTTAGTTTATGCCTATTGCCTTGGCAAGTTTTTAATAGTGCCCCCTTTTCATTCTCAAATAGTCTCAGAGTTTGGCTGATAAAATATGAGTTATATGGTAATACATACACAGGATTCAGCACTCAAAATGCTTATGAAACACACACACACACAGTTGCTAAAAAGCTGTTGTTCTAGCCTTATAATCAGATACACACAGAGTGTTAGACTGGCGTCTGGCTAAAGATGACTTCTTAGTCACTATGCATTCCTCTTCCTGACGTCATCCTTAATTACAGTAATAAAAATTGAGCTCTCCATGCTGTTAATGCAAAAGGAGTCTATAAAACTTGTGCATTAAATAGGGCATCAAATACCCTTTCCTGTATAATTTCATATTATTGGAGCTATTTTAAAGCTGTTTACATCATACCAGAGATCCCTGTATTGTTTTACCATACATTTGAATTAAATAACAGGAAGCAAGATATATAGTACTAGAGAGGTAGACAGAACCATAAAGCAAAGTTCCAGCCCTACATAGGACAAAGGAGACATGCTTTGAGAGATAACTAAAAGGACTGAACATTAAGCAATAGAGTAATCACTGATATGAACAATTATTCAGAGGCAGGAACAGCTTTTTCTGATTTAGATTCTTGGGGCTGACATGGGGGTGGGGATGGCATGACATTCCAGGTGGTGAGGACACCAGAAACACAGGTCTCTAAGTGGAAGAATACAAGCTGGTTTGTTTAGAGCAGAGTCCAAGTGCAGAGTCAGTAGGCGAGAGGGTGGAAAGGTAGACAGGGCCAGTGATGGACCGGTTAATGTCTGCATCTAAGTTAATGGCTTCCTCTTAGCTGTCTGAGTATCTGGCTATTCTAGCTCAGTGCACAGCAGGCTCCAGGCATCTGCATATCACCTGCATCATTTTGACCTTATCTTTTTACTACCTGCTTATTACAGTCATGTGCTATCTAATGATGGAGGTACATTCTTAGAAATAGGTGATATAGGCAATTTCATCACTGCAAACATCACAAGAGTGAACTTACTTCGATAGTACAGCCTACTCCACTCCTAGGCTCTCTGATACAGCCTGTTGCCCCTATGCCACAAGCCTGTACAGCATGTTACTGTACTGAATACTGTAGATAATGGTGACACATGGTAACTGTGTCTCTAAACATGTCTAAATGTTAAAAAGGTTGAGTAAAAATACAGGATAAAAAATGAACAATGGTACACCTGTACAGAGCACTTGCTATAAATGGAGGTATAACACTACCTGACTTCAAATTATACTACAGAGCTACGATAATCAAAACAGCATGGTATTGGCAATAAAACAGACACACAGGCTGATGGAACAGGATTGGGAGCCCAGAAAAAAAACATATGGGCAAATAATTTTTGACAAAGGAGCAGAAA